TTTTCCCACTTATAAAGAACTAAATGGGCTCACCCATCTATGGTGGTGAGATGGCACCCCTGGCATGGTCTGTCTGCTTCTCTTTGATTCTGTACTTAGTCAACTGTTAGTTAATCTGTAGTTCTCAAATAAATTTTGCCAATGCTTTCTTTCATAGCAGGTCCAGAGTCCCCCATCTCTGTATGAGCATTCAAGTTGTTGCAATGGAAGACAACTGGCAGGTGACTAAACTTTGCCCCTCTTGCAATTTTGTATGCCACTTGGTGATGACCACTATGCCTTTTGTTTAAAAATAAAAAACACAATTCTAATCTGTTCTGTCTGCTCTTTTTCCAAGCAGGCGCAGATGACAAGTGCTGCCTGCCTAAGTTTTTATTATCCGGTACATTTCAAGTACTGGATAATACACTTCAGCCTGTAAGGATAGAAACAGAACTAGAGCTCAGTCTTTCTCCCTACTGCCTTAACCCGCCCTTGATTCCTTCCTTCTTGAGCTAAGATGTTGAAGATGCCAGTTTTCAACTTTCCCAAGAAGGGTAGGAAGTTGCTAGAGGAATGCTGTGAGTTGAAACCTAGGTCTCCTTTTCTAGAGTACTCTGAAGAGACTCAAATGTCAATGTTACTTGTCTCAAGCTCCTCAGCTAGTGACTGAAGAAGGGGCTCTCTGAACCCTCCATTTCTCTCTAATTGCCCTACCTAATCAAAGATGTAGCAGTGCCCTAGCACAGAAGAAATCATCTGTAACAGGGTCCCCTTGGGAGACAGCTAGCCTGGCTTAGGAGCTGCAGCTGTGTGAAGGCTAATGAGGGAGTGGCTGCCTGGGAATCAAAAACCCCAGCAGGCAGAACCAGAGACCTGTGGGGAGAAGCATCAGAGCTGGGAAATGGGCCCCAAGGAGATCAAGCCTGCTGTGGGAAGGTTGGAGCCACAGTGGACCCCTCCTAGTGTTTGGGATAAAAAGGATTTTGGGGTTTTGGGGGGTTTTTAAATTTATTTGTTGAAAGGCTGTGTGTTACTGAGGCATGCTGAGAGATGCTTAAGGAGCAGAGGCCTGGTTGAAAAGGCCCCGAGGTGGCAGCCTGCTACAGTGTCCCACTACTCAAGAACGGGATATTCTTTTTCATGTTCATAGCTTCATAGTAGCTAGGGTCAGGAGGGACCTGAACAGATCATCTAGCCTGATCCCCTGCCACAGGCAGGAATGAATGCTGGGTTCACAAGACCCCAGACAGGTGATCATCCAACCTTCTCTTGAATTTACCCAAGGTAGGGGCAAGGACCACTTCCCTGGGAAACTGGTTCCAGATTTTGGCCACCCTAACTGTAAAAAATTGCCTTCTGATCTCTAACCTAAACCTGTTCTCCATCAGCTTATTACTATTGTTCCTCGTCACCCCAGATGGTGCTGGGGAGAAAAGGGCTCTACCTTTTTGCTGTTGATGAGTTTGTAGGCAGCCACCTGGTCCCCCCTCAGCCTCCTCTTGCTGAGGCTGAACAGGTTCAGGTCCCTCAGTCTCTCCTCATAGGGTCTGTCCTGCTGCCCTCTCACCAAGTGGGTGGTCCTCTGAACCCTCTCCCGGCTGGCCACATCCTTCTCCAGTGGCACACAGTAGAGACACATTCCACTTCCCCTCCATGGGCTCCCTCCTGGGACTCAGAAAGACACTCTGGAGATTGCTGTTTGAGCAGTAGAAGCCTTGGATCTGACAAGAAAAAGGCTCCATGAGAGTCTCTTTTGGGACCACCATTCATACGCTTGTCAGCTGTGGTGTAGGATGGGGTGGCCAACCTCTGACAGGAGAAGCATAGGCAGGCTCTGTGTGGCACACAGCAGATTGGGGAAGGGACAAGCAGTCCAGTGGCAGATGGGGCAGGGAGCTAAAAGCAAAGCAGAAGCTTGGGCAGGGAGCAGAAACCTGAGTAGCAGATCAGGTAAGGGAAAGGGATCAAAGGGCCCCTAGGAGAAGGCATAGGGCTTATTTGTGGCAAGTCTGCCCAAATGGTTGCTCCTCACTAAAGTAAAGCATGTAGCTACCTGCTTGAAAGTCAGCTGCTGCTGCCTCTTCTGTAGGATGAAATGTCTTTCTAGGAAGCACTATAAATGTTCTTAACCCAGTCAGCCATGAATCTTAAAGAGATGAAACTAGAAGTGGTGCAGCAACTGATCCTGCCAGCAATTTTGTCACCCTCCATAATGAGACAGGAGGGACTTCAGGGTTTTTAAAACCTCTTGGCCATGTCAGAGACAGTTCATATCCTGCTGGAAAGAAGACTGTGCACTCTGCATTGTTCCATGTCTGGGAGACTGACCGTGCCTATTAACCAGGGAATCTTAGAGCTTGTAAAGGTCTTGTAGCAGGCTTCAGCTCAGAACCTGCCACCTCCAAGAAAGACCATGTTCCTATCAAGTTCTCCAAGTACTTCTTTTGAATCTGGTGCCAAGGTCACTTGTCAAAGCACCCATTTAGAAAAGGTCAAAGTAGCAAATACCGCCACCAGGAAAGGAAAAGGCCCCAAAGAGACTGGATGTTTGACAGAAAACAACTCTGCCTGCCAGTTTCCATATTGTATCCGTAGTGGGACAAACTGGTTCTGCTTACACAAAGGCTCCCACCAGAGCAAAGAGAATGATTAAAATCCATCTACTAGAAAAGTAACTAACATCTGAAATCTCCCCACAGGCTGCTGTGGATGTATCTAATAATGGCTGCACTGGTGACAATGTGAAAATCCTGTTGGTTTCAGTAGCTGGGAATATCCAGGAAGGTCCAAACCACGACAGAAGATCTTTTATGCGAGATCTGCAGTGGCTTAAAGACTGACAAGGCCTTTCCTTCATTAAAGTGTTTAAGAACTGCTTTGCATTCTCTGACTTGTACTTACCAATCCCAAAGAGAAAGCAAGCAGTTCTTCACCTTTTCCTCAGGAAAGCCACCCTGATATCTTTTTCTTGATAGAAGGCTTGAGGTTGCAGTAGAGAAGTTAGATCTTTTGAAGGATCTGTGTCCAGTTGTCTTCCACCTTTTGGCTCTCACCTGTTTGGGCAGTTTCAACTGGCATCTCCATGAGTCAGTGGGTTCATGCAGTTATCAGTAATAGCACATGCAAGTCCATTTCCTTCCCACTTCACTCCCGACTCTCCATCTTTCAAAGAACCCTCTTACAAGATTTTGCTGAAACAAGGGCTTTCTCAGATCTGGATCAGGGAAAGTGGTGCCCTCACAATTCAGGGATAGGAGTTTGTATTCCTGGATGTTTTTATTTTCATTTGAAGATGAATGAAGGTTTATATCCCATTATGAACCTCTGACATCTCAACAGGTTGCTGTCTTGTTTCAGAATGGTGGCTGGCCTCCTTAATCCCCTTATTCCTGTTCATGGTTTAAGACTTTCCAGAAGACTTTCTTCACACTTCCATACATCCAGCCCATTGGAAATACCTCAGATTATTAACAGGTAAATCTTGCAGGGTAGATTACAGGGTTCCTGCACTTTCAGCTTCACCAATGCCATTTACCAAGTGCTTTGCTATTGTAGCTACTCCTCTAAAAATCACAAAGCATCTAGATCTACCCATGTCTCTGATAGGTTAATTGAAGGAAGTTCATTTTAGCTGACAACCAGATTGTAATTTTGTGTTGCAGTAATAATAAAAAAACCTCATCTCTTACGGAGGTCAGCTTTTGCTAGGTTAACAGATATTTTCCCCTATTTTATCTGTAAACATAAAACTTACCCAGCTGCAGAAAAACAGAAGGTGAGACAAAGGTGGATGGAACATACCCATCTAGGTAGACTGTGGATGTATCTGATAATGTTGCACATGCCATGGCCATGGCCATGTTAGGGATAATGTGAAATGGCTAAATACTCATCATAGTACAACCCAGAACCAACATTTCCAGTAACAGCAGCTTGCAGTGACCTTTGAAGTGCTAAAACAAGATAGGTTGGAACCTCTCTCAATAGTGTGCACAGTGTCTAGTGATTTAGTTGGTGTCCATTAAAGTCAATGGAAAGATTCCCATTGGTTTCAATGGTGATTATATTGGTCCTCCTAAACTACACACCCAAAGCTGCATTCTGTCTTCAGGTTTGTTTTTTCTGCCCCAGTACTGTGGTCCTGGTAAATCTTGGAGGAGATGATTGACAGAAAAGCAGTCACAGCCTCAGGGTCACATAGAGTAGAGCAGTGGTTCTCAAACTTTTTTTTTTGCGGACCACTTGAAAATTGCTGAGGGTCTCGGTGGCCCACCTAATAAACTTTTTGTTTGTTCTACAAATCAAAGCAAACTCACATTTTAATATCAGTAGTCTTACCTTTCTAATGCAATGGGTGTGCCTGTTTTTTTGAGCAAAGTTCTGGGAAGTCAGGTGCAAGGTCTGTCAGCTTTAGCCCTAGGTCACCTTTCTGCAGACCACCTGAATGGAGCTCGCAGACCACAGTTTGAGAACCTCTGGAGTAGACAATTAGATCTTTTACTTTAGTGTATAAAATGTTTGCTTCCTAAGATAATAGGAGCTTTTCCCCCATGAAGCTATGGTCAATTTACCACAAAAGAGAAAGCTGAGAAAGTTATGTCCTGAATCTATTAGGGACTGGCTGGTGGGACCAACAGTTTTGAGCCATTCTGGCAAATGCTACAATCCTATAACAAATGAATGGTGGTTTTGGTTTGACCGTTTTCAGGTTTTCAAATTGCCCTTGGTCAAAATCACAGCAGCGGTGCCTGGAAAGCTGCGTGCAACTCGTCTGAGGAAAGTACCATTCCATCCAGAGAAGGGACAGACTTTGCCAAGTGATATCTGAGGAAAATACACAGCATTGTATATTTGTGTACCTAGGAGGAATAGTGCAGGATCTTTTATGGAAACAGCAACATGGGACTTGCTCATTCTTTTTCCTTCCAGATGTTGCTGGGTTTTCTTCAAATAAAAGGAAACATTTGCCCACTTCCCCTCCTGAGCGGGCAGTTTATCTTGGGTCAGCTGGTGTAGTTTAAAACAGTTGGGGACACAAACAGTTCCAGAGTCTGCTATTTCCAAACCTGCCTTCTACACTGTGGAGGCAAAGTCTGAGAGAGGACCTGCCATCACCATGAAAACACTTATTGCAGCTTACTCCCAAAATCAGAGTGGTAAGAAAATTGCAAGGCGTGTTCGTAATATTCTAGACTTGTGGTTGATAGAGTCAGTCAAGGCATGTTTGCTGTTGTTGTTGAATATGTTATTAGATATCTCTTTCTATAAAATAGTCTATAATAATTTTATAAAGCTGTGTGTTAGCTGTGAAGGGAGCAGGGATGGGAATGGAGCAGAATTGCTTGGTAGAAGTGAGTTTACTGAAATCGGTCTGGGAAATCTGTCAGATCATTTACTGCAAAAGGGCATGAAAATGGCAAATTGTATAATCCAAATCAAAGAAGAGTATCTGCCACCCATTCAGATAGCTCTCCTACATAAGTCAATGGCTATGTAAGTGCGAGCCCAGTCAGAAATATTTGGCTTTTAGTCAACTAATAAGAAGAGCTGTGAGGTATGTGACTTCTGGGACCTGGTCTGAAGACCTGGGAAGTCTGCTAGGAGTGATGGACTGAGTAGACTTGGGTAATTGCTCTGGGGAAACAAAAGTAATGTTCTTCTGTCCAGTGACTGCTCTAATGTTTAGGTACCCCATTTGTGGTCTGGATTTTACTCCAGAAAGGCTGAACTTCAAAATTGCCTAGGTCTGACCCAGCCAGATTTGAGTTGCTCTTCCTGACTTTCCCATATGGTCGAGTTCTCTCTGATCCAGCACTCCACTGAATGCAAGGTCTCTCCATTACAGCCTGTTAGATAATGGTATTGAGTAGGTATGTTAATTGTAAGGATTTTTCCAGCTGTCTGACATTAAAGGCCTGATGCAGCTCCCTGCAGCCATTCTGAGCCCCTGTGAGCCAGCAGGCTTATGGTCTCTGTCCTTGGTGGGATGAGCTCTTTGGCCTTGGGACCTGCTCAGCTCAGCCAGAGCTCTTCACACAAACATCCTTTAAAAAGATGGGCAGGGAGCTCATGGAGTTTGGAATCTGGCTTTTGTCCCAGAGGGAAGAGGGATCAAAAGGCCCTGGCTGTGTTTGCAGTAACACTGGTGGGAGTTAATCATTCATAACGTTACCAGGGAGAGGAGGAGGGAGAAGGAAAACCAGTTAATGCTATTGAACTCCCACTTCCCAGAGTCAAGGCTGAGGGACCACAGGGCCTGTGGCCTTATCAGTCACTGCAGGACAGGGCGGTTGGCCTGACACATCCAGACTCACCTGTTGTCAGCTCAGACACTGTGCTCGTGAGATGTCTGAGATGTGTGCGTGGTCCTGCCTTGCCATGACACTTCACTCAGGCTTCCCTCTGGCTCGCCCTTCACAGGATAAACACAGCCCTGGTCAGTCTGTGGAGCAGGGAGAGCAGGATCTCACCTCTTCAGGGTTCTGGTCAACTTGGAAACTTTGATATTTTTATTAAAACCTCTTTCTCTGTGAGGGGGGCCAGGTCCAGAGAATCCTTCCCCCACAGTTGCATGGGAGGTCCTGCTCCTTAGAGGGGCTTTGAGCAGCTGAGAGTTATCTGTGCACTCAACAGTATAGTGTCAGTCAGTCCCTATCGTGTACCTCCTTCTACACCTGCAGGCATGGGGGCCCAGCTGGGCCCTGCTGTCTCTTGCCCTTCATCTCCCCACCTCCTCCTGCTCTCTCTATAGCTCTCACCCTACTTTCTTCCTTCTGCTTCATGTTCATCTTCCTCACCTGTTACCAGCTCAGGCTACTGGAAGCAACCAGCTAGGGACTGACCCAGCACATGGGCAAGAAGAAAGCCCTGTGCAAGTGTAAGGGGCAGGTGGGTAGGGTCAGTGTGGGGTGCAGGGCACAGCATGTGCTGGGGCAGTGGCTTCCCATTGCAGAGGGCTGTGACTGCATGTGTATTGGGGAACCTTGATCTGTGAGAGGAATAGCATGTGTTTGTGCAGGGGCATGCATGTGCGGTGTGGGGCTGTGTGTCATAGGGGGTGGTGCAGGTACAGGGGGTGGTTTCTTGTGGGTGGAGGGGAAGAAGAGCACTAGCAGATGGGTACAGCATGACCAGTAGGCAGTGATCAATAATGGAAGTGGTGAAAGGTGTTTGTGCCTTCCAGGGAGCCATGCCAGCATCCAGGCTGCCCTGCGCACTCTGCTCACTGCCCCCTGGCCCTCACAGTGGGACGTCCGGGCATGCCTCCAGCTTCTCTCTGTCCTGCAGTGGGTGCTCAGCTTCTTGTTCATGGGTGAGTAAGCACAGCAGCCTAGAGGAGATGATCTGTACCATCATGGGGGTCTCCTTCCCTCTCACTGCTAGAAATTCTCTACAGGTTTTTGGAGCAGGGAGGGCAACCCTCCATCACAGCCCGTGGAATGTGGTTCCCCATCTCTCTGAGTGATGACTATAAAAAAAAATCAGGACATCAGAAAATGCAGCCCCAGGGAACAGAAAGCTCCTTGGAGCAAGAAGGGGAAAAGCAGCCTTCTCAGGGGAGAGCAGGGTCTTGGCTGGTTATTGCTGGGGGGATTTTCAGATGAGACGGTAGCACATTCTGTAAGAGCTGGGTATGTCTGCAGTCTCTCCCTGCCCTCCTGGGTGCTAAGACCCCTGTAGATGCATGTGGATTATCTGGAATCAAGCCTTTTCAGGAACGGTTGGATACTAGGAGCCTGATTATTTCATTTTGTAGAAGTGCAAAGTACTCCAGCCCCAAGTCAGGGGGTGTCCAGCCAGAATCAGTCCTGGAACTCACAGCTGTGTCTTTGTGTACTCCCTTCCCATTTAGTGCACAGGGTTTTGGGGTGGAGCCTGTCTCCCTGCACATTGGTTCAGCATGGGGGCTGTGAGCACATCCACAGTACAAATAAATCAGCCCCAGTGAAGAAGTTGGCACCTGCTGACCTTCCGCTTGCTGTTAAGGTCAGAGAACATTTGACTTTGCAAAGGGGGTGAGCTCTGTTGCTGACCCTCCCAAGAGCACTCTGACACAGGAATTATGTCCACACAACATGATTTGGTGTGGGCAGAGCTGCCCAAGCTAGTTGTGAATGACCTAGTTTGGGTACTGGAAGCAGTATAGCTGTGTCAGCTTATAGCCCAGGCATACTGCCTTGCTAATATGCTATGCTGCTTCTGGAACCCAAGCTAGTTAGCTGAGAGCTAGTTCAGGTATTTCTACACAGTACTACAATTGCCTGCACAGGACTTTGAAGGCATTGACACAGAGATGTCCCATTAATTTAACATTTTTCTGCAGGATTCTGGTTTGCCCCGGCAGTTGTGAGTGAGTTAGCGCTTATTAAAGGGATGTTGTAGCCATGATAGCCCAGGAATTATTATAGCATCTCAAAAAATCAGTATCAGTAGTGTTCAATCCTTGGTTCTTACTGTTCTTACTTAAGCTGCCTAGACACTGATACTGACTGTTGAACACACTATAATCTACCTGATTCCTAAATTTCTTCCTATACGCAACAAACCTGATGAAGAATGTCTTGCATTTGAAAGATCATCTAACTTTATTCCAACCATGCAGTTTTTCCAATCAAAGATATCACCACCCATGCAAAAAAAACTGCAGTTTGCTTATTAAAGAACAATTGTTTAAAAAGTGAAGAGGTCAGTGGTAAATTATTTTAACACTTCAGGGTGCTGAGTTTATAGTAAATAAGTCTTGACTACGAGAGTGCTACATAGAGCTGTAGATTCCTACTGCTTTGGAAACGGGCTGTCTTTTTGTCAGGTATTTGTGCAGAGCCTGGTACAATTGAGATCCTATGGTTCACTGAGACACCTATAGCAACAGTATGTTAATACTGCTTCCTCTTTTTTTAATTAGGGCTTTAGCCAAAATTTGGAGCCACGTGGGTCATTTCCTTCGAATAGTCTGTTCTTTGATGTGGTTTTGTTTAGTTTCAAAGAATGCACATCCCCTTGCCTCCTTAAATGCAGGAGGAATTGAACAACAGGAGATGGTTTCTTTGCTCACAGCTCCAAACTACTTTCTAGTCAGCACTTGGCCCAACAGCTATCTCTCAGCATCCCCTGTGGCCCCACCATCAGTGTTTCTGTTGCATGTCTTCCTTGCTATCTGCTTTCTCAGCTTCTCTGATTTTTCTTTCACAAAACAATACCCAGAGAAACAGTTCCACCCGCATATACTGCTGCCTTGGGTCTATCTGTTCTTTAATCGGAGGTTGCTACTGGTTCAACCCTTTGGCTTCATAATGGAGCTTAATAGGTTTTTACAGCAATCTTAAATGAACCATAGCAGTTATACCTAGGCACATCGACACTCCAGTCTCTTCTTCATTTATCATCTTGAACAGGGTCTTTCCGTTAGAATATTTCACATCACAAGCCATAAGCAATTTCACTTTTATCCCAATCTTCTGGGAGGTTTTCTTCACTCACTCAATCACATGCCGACAGGCCTTCTGCCCACGAACCCCTGAATAGATCCTTTTGTGCCAGTGAAATTTGGTAGTGAGACACTCCTGTTCTGTTCTAAATGGGAAAATCAACATCCAGCCTCAGTTTCCACAGCTACCGTCTTAGTTTTAGGAGTAGCCCTGCTGTAATCCTCTGAAGGTACTCCCTCAGAGGTTCTTATGGATAACTTTAGGTTTAATAGTAGGACCCAGTGTATTTGTTATGGCATTGCATTTATTCCAGTCAGTACTGTGTAGCAGTGGTTCTCAATCTTTTTTGGACCAGGACCCATTTGCAAGCACTGATAGCCAGTCCTGAACCCAGGACCCCTCACTCCTGACCCACTGCCCCTCCCCACAGGCCCTGGTCGAGCAGCGTGTGGGGCAGGGGTGGGTGTGGGGCAGATGGGGGGAGGGTATGGTGGGGAGCAAGCAGCCTCTTGCAAGCTGGAATTCTGACAGCCTGCAAGGGAAAAACCATGCTTCCCATGTTTTTCTCCTTTAAAGGAGAATCCATTTTTAAAGGTTGTTTGCAACCTTTTCACATATTCTTGTGACCCATTTTTGGTTCGTGACCCACAGGTTGAGAAACACTACTGTTTAGGACCCTTTCCAAGCTTACCTAGCTTAGGGCTCCTTCTTTCTCCCAGGACTGTAAGACCAGACCAGGTCCCTCCTTTAAAACCTTTTCCCCATATGTCCTTACACTGAGCAGCCTTTGCATTTGATCGGAGGCCACTCATTTTATCAGAAGTCATCCTGGCAAAGGCATGAACTTTAGTCAGGCTTGGATTGTAGGGTCTCTGCATAGACCAAAGGGTCTAGATGCCTTTGTTCATTTTCAGGAGTTTCACCAAGAGTTTAGGGCAGTATTTGCAACTAGCCTCCCAGCAACGCTGTCTGGACTGTCCTTGAGCCCAGACCTGTAGGTGGAAGTGAAATTATAGTACTATAGTTTTTATAACTAGCAGGCAAGTTGTGCCTCAGGATTCCTGACTCTAGAGAGCCATTTTAGGGAAGCTAGAGCTGTTGAGGCCATTAACTTTGTCCTATATAAAAGTGTTGAAAATTTTCCAGAGCTTTAACACCTGCCAGGGGTGGTGCAATCATTTTGCTCAAGACTTGCTGCAATGAGCCATCCACCTCTCAAGTCCTCCCTTTGGCTCTGATGTTAATGCTGCTCCAAACTATCAAGCTGACATCTGCATCCACTACCGCATGGTCAGCTAAAACAGGAGCAGTCATAAGAGTCTTTCAAGCCTGGAAATACTCTGTTGGTCACTGACATGATTGCTGTTTCTCACCCAACCTGGGCTGTGTGCACGCATGAACTTGCTATAACAGCATGGAGCCTTTACACAACCTACCCAGCTGGGAACGTCTGGAGAATGGATTTGTGCACACCTTCCATTTTCTTTTTGTCACTAAAGGTTCCTCCTGTCCTTATCATAAACCCAAAGCTAAGCACATCTTCTTGAAACAATTCACAAATCTCTGTTTCATTTTACTTGGCAGCAGAAAGCTAATTACAGGCCCTTGAGTATCAGTTCTTATTCTGAGATTTTGCATGTATTAGGATACCATCCAGGTACAGCACATCACCCACAATGAGAGGAGAAAGTCAGGCATTAGCCTCTCTTTTGGCCTCTCACATGTGGCTGGTGCACTGCACAAGTCAAACGCTTTAAATTGACACAGACCTTGTCCTGCTAGGAAAACATTCCTGTCCCTGTCCTTTGGATCCACAGCTATGTGCCAATTCCTATTTTTAGATCCAGTGTGAAAAACCAGATTGAACCTGCTGTAGCTTCTAAGTGTGCCAATATCTATTTGTAGATGCAGCGTGGAAAGCCAGATTGAACCTGCTATAGCTTCCAGCCACAATAGTGCATAAGAATTCTTTATGGTAACCTCATTTAGACCAGATGGGATCTGGCATTGCTGTCTTTTTCTTAAGCAGATATTGGTGAAGCCCAACAGGCTTTGCTGAGAAGTGACTTAGTTCTTTCAGGTATATATCTCCAATGGCTTGTAATGCTTGTTTCCTCTTGGTAAATGGTTGTGTCTCAACACTGACCAACTGGCCAGAACACAGCAAATGATAGTTGGCTTTCCCCAGGACCAGTTTTGTCCTGGCCCAGTGCAGAGCAACCTGCTTGGAAGAACAACTCCTGACTCCTAACTAGGAAGTCTCTCAGACTTCTGCTGTGGTTTTATTTAGATACACAGTCCTGTGCCAGAACAAGTAAAACTGAAAGTCTTGGAATTCACCTGCATTTTCTTCTTGTTTTCTTCTCTACCTGTGTTTATTAGGTCTCTGGTTCAGGTATGTTTTTTTTCAGATATCTTAAATGACGGGCATGAGTTACACCCAATGCATTTGAGTAAGTTCTATAACTTATGGAGTATCTGTTATAGACTACTATATGAGGTACCATGATGCTCAGGGGAGCACAGCTCTGGAATCCATATCTGCTGTACCCTGAAAATCTCCCCTGCTTTTCCCCTAGCTGCTTTATGTGCTGGAAATGGGCTTTCACTTGAGTACATTAGTCCACTAGAAGTGCCTTCTTAACCCCATCAGAGAGGCTTGGATTCAATGTTCTTTCCAATAGGCAAGATGGTCACAAGCAGCAAAGATTTCTAAAGTGGATGCCATCTAGGGCTGAAGCACAAGTTTGACTCAGGGAAGCTCCCACACTTGTCACATACTTATGCTAGAGAGAGTGGGGCCTCTAATATTCCACCAGTGCAGCTGTAGTACAGTCAAGTGTTGCCAAGACCACCTCAAAAGGCTTTAAGTGGACAGTGGTAAAAATGGCTGGGTCCTGTCTGAACCACAGCCTCTTCTCAGTTTGCTCCATGGGGTGATGATTTAGGGACCAAAATTTCCCTCATATAGCAAGACTGGTACAGAGCTTGTCTTTCAAGCAGAGCCAGCAGGGAGCTAACAGGCCTGGGCTGGCTGGGTTTCAACACTGACCAGCTGGGCAGAACATACAGCAGAGAAGGTGTTTTGGCCCAGGAACAAATTACAATTTGGTCACTCCTTGGGAACGAGGTGTTTTATGGAAATGGGATTCTGAATAGGCCTAAAGATGGTGGGATTCATTGTGGGCACTCCTCCCATCCCACATTGCAACAAGGTATTAGGAGATGGTGCCTAGAGACAGGACCTGTTTGTAGAGCTGTGCTGGAATCCTGAGGCGGAGATGCAGACACTCTGCTACACAGTGAGGCAGAGGACAGGTACACGTGAGGAATTGCTCTCCTGATTTGATCCCCATGTCAGAGCAATGTTAAGCTGAGGGGTGGGTTTTAATATGTGGAAAGGGGCCACTACACCCATGAAACTCCACTGATAGTTGCACTGGTGTCAACTGGGGCAGAATCAGCTCTGCCGGTATGTGGTAAGATGTGTTATACACGGTCTCTCACATATTTCTATTTAAGGATATATAAGTTCATCTTTTGCTTGTGTTCCCCCAGGAATCATTTCCCTGCTTCTCCTCATCTATTTGGTTTTCACCAGTTTCTGGCCGATTTCTGCTTTGTACCTGGTCTGGCTAATCTTTGACTGGGACACACCGGAGCGAGGTATGGACAAGCATCGCTTCACTTACTGAACATGTTCATAGCAGGTGGGGTGGAAGGCAGCTGTGGCAGGATTCAGAGATGTGGTTTTTAACCCTCTGCTGTCTGTCTTTGTTTCTGGGAGTCTGCTCTGAGTTTCTGGGAGTCTGCTCTGAGCTTTCCACTATCTTCAGGCTCATATAATAGCTAATCTCACCCAGTTAAAGCTAAATCCCCTGGAATGAGGGAAACAGGTCCAGAGAGATGCACAGAGTTCAGCTCTTAAGAACACTATCCCAACAGACTGCACCACCTTTTCTTTCCTCTCATTATCAGAGATTCTTGGTGATATAATGAACTTAAATGACTGGCCTTCGTGCCAGTGCAGCGCTGGAATTTAACACACCCTGGGTTTAATTCTATTTTCATCTCTTTGGGAACTGCTGTATACAACCCTAGGATTCTTATAGCAGCAGCAAGATTAATATCTGAACCACTTGCACCAAAAGCACAGGCTCTTGCTACTTAACATGAAGGAGAATTTCCTTAACCATATAGGTCCTGTGACACAGGTCTGGGCAGTTCTGATTCCATCTAAGGGGGAGCAAGGCATGCAAAGATAATGCAAGACATCAGCTGAGGCATGAGCAGATAAGTGCTCCAGAGCAGATAAGACTCCCAAGGAGCCAGTGTTCTTATTTTCTTCTTCATTTACATGGTTAAATGATAAAGACTGGGGCAGTGCCAACCTACAGGAATGCAAGGGGGTGGGGAGGGGTGCGTAGAGGGGAGAGGAAGGAGGTGGTCCAAAAAGAGCCCGTTGCCAGGAAAACAGAACTGACCTGACTTCCCTCCAGAGAGGAGGGTCTGTCTTTACAGTGTCTGTGGGAACTTGTGACCTAGGACCCTCCCACACACCTCTTGTCTGGTTTGCAGGTGGGAGGAGGTTCACATGGTTGCGGAAATGGGCTGTCTGGAGGCACTTCCGAGATTATTTCCCTATTCAGGTAAGCAGCAAGCCTGCCCAGGCCATGCTTGTGCCATTCATACAGTGGGTGCTATGGAGATGTGGCCATAACATTTCTAGTGCACCAGTTTTCTGTCAGAAAAAAAAGTTTTGAATACGTCGGTAACAAATGTTTGTTTCAGAAATAGTCCCACGTTCCACGTCAGGAGGAAATGCCCCTTTCCACAGACACTTTGTTTTGTTTGGTTTTTTTCCTTTTTGTTCATTTTATTCTGTGGCAGCTGTGGTGGGCCATGAAGGCATGTCAAGGTCTAATAGATGGACTATTCAGAACATTGTTATATTTTGGTATATATTTATTTTTAAATGAAAGGGCTGCTGTGACCCTTCTGGTTTTTAAATACATTTTACACTTCCCACAGTATAACAGTTCCATGTTAGAGCAGCTTCTGTGCTGAGAACTGTACTTGTGTAGGTTAACCTGCAGACTCTGGGACAAGTCTGTTAGGCATCTCTGCTGTACTCTTGTTGAATGGTCCCTGCATGGCTTTTTCCATGCAAGCCTAGCAGACCAGCTGCTGGCAGATTAATGACTTCCTATACATCAGCCTGTCTCCAGCATCCCTCATGAGTCATTTCTCGCATGTGTTATTCTCCAGCTGCCAGGCCAGCCCCTGCAGAGAGCACCCAGGGAACCTAATAGAAATCTGGTGCAAAAACAGGTGGTTGGAAAGGGCCCCAAACACATGTTTCTTTCAGTGTCACCCTAATCATCACAGCTAGCTGACATCAGGCTAATTGTCAAATCATTAGGCTGACATCAGGCTAGCTGTCAAATTTCACAAACTTCAGTAGCTGCTCCATACATGTGCTGATTTTGGTTGTGTGCAATGGGAGAGGTAAAGAAACTGGGGAAATCCCTGAGCTGAGCTGCTCAATGATTCTAATTTGCACATCTGTCCAGGTGATTGTGCTTCTGCATCAAGGTGGGGGAACTACAGCCCAGGTAGTGCCCATCTGTCCTCACCTGTTGAGAAGGTCTCCTCAAGGCCTGTGACTTAACCAGCATTGAAAGCCAGGGCTTCTGACATCCTCACTCCCTACTGATTGTATGTCTTCTTTCTCCAGCTGGTGAAAACTCATGATCTGCATCCCAGCCAGAATTACATTATTGGTTCACACCCTCATGGGATCCTCTGTGTTGGGGCCTTCTGCAACTTTATCACTGGGTCCACTGGCTTCTTTGAGAAGTACCCTGGTATCAGGCCCTTCCTGGCCACGCTGGGTGGCAACTTCTGGATGCCTTTCTTCAGGGAATATCTGATGAGTGGGGGTGAGTGTGCTCACAAAGCATCCCTTGCACATATCCACAGATAGCACCTAAGGGGGTCCGTACATGATAGAGGGGTTGAAATCTCCCTAAAATGAAGCGGTGTTTTTTAAAAACACCGCTTCAATTTAGGGTGAAGTAAACCCCCGTGTTGTGTACACCCATGTCAGAGCCCAGTCCTTACCTGCCTCTCCAGCGGCAGGGAAGGGAGAACGAGCTGCTGGTGAGCAGAGCTGCTGGGGGGGGGAGGGGCTGGTGCTTCCCTTCATGGCAGTGATGGTCTGCCCCCAGGCAGCACCTGCCCACAGGCACCCAGCTCAGGCAGTCCTGGGGAGTACTGCAGCCATGGAGGGAGGCACCGAGCTCCCACACAGCTCAGGCAGGCAGGCAGGCTCTGGGGGGAGGGGGAGGAGATCAGGCTCATTGCTTTTTTTTTTTTCCCGGCCCCCCCCTTCTGTGGAGCCTGCCTTCCTGGGCTGCTGCTGGGCTGCCTGCAGGGGCTGCCTGCACAGACCATGAGCTGCACAGGGCCTGGTGCTTCCCTCCGCGGCTGTAGAGTTTAGAAACTAAAACTCCTTACCTAAGAGGTGTTTTACTTTGCAGCGGCCCAAATTAATTTGCTGTGTCCTAAAGTCATTTAAGGCATATCACGCAGGAATGGGCAAAATGCGGCCCGGGGACCAGATACAGACCTCCACGTCATTCTATCCAGCCTGCGAGGCCCCTAAAAGTTTAGAAAATTAATATTTATTAATTTAATATTTATTCTGCCCCTGGTTGCCTGTTATGTGGTCCTTGGTGGCTTGCCAAAACTCAATAAGTGGCCCTCTGCCCGAAATAATTGCCCGCCCCTGCCCTAAGGTGTTGCAGGTGCAGGTAATGCAAGAGACCCAAGATGTTCACAGTGTCCATCTCCTTTCTCCTGGGAGAGGGGCATGTGTAGTCTCCATCCAGTGGCAGCACCTGCCTTGCCCTTGGAGCCTTCACTTTGGCTGGTGCAGCTGCTGCTTCTGGTTGCCTCCTGACTAACATGGGGACTCTGGAGCCATGAGCCAGGGAGTGTCCCATCCTGGCCTCCACTCACCTGATCCTTTAGCTTATTGTACCCTCCTTCTTCTGGAGCAAGGGATTCCAGGGCTCCTGTCTGGACACAAGGTGTCACCCTCACTCCACCCATTGGGCTTCTGTGCAGGGAGAAGTCTGCTTACAGCCTGTGGCTGTAGTTAGAGTTCAGCTCAACTCATTTCTTTGGGGAATGGAAGAAAATAGGCCCTCTTCCTGCCTGTCCATGTCCTATAGCTTTCTGAAAAGTGGGGATTCACCTGTCATCCACCTGCACCCACCTGCGGGGACTTTTCCCAAACCCGGAAGGTGAATAGGCTTTCAGGATAGCCCAGAAGTTCATTCAGAGATCCTGACAAAGGATTCTTCCTCTTAGTTGTGAGGGGAATGAGCAGGTTCCCAGCTGGCTAGTGGGGAATGCGGTTGCCATTGCAGACAGTTTTTCCTATGTTCCCTTCATTTCTTTGCTGGTTAGGCCTGTGCCCTGTAACACGCCAGGCCATAGGGTACCTGCTGTCCCGGAATGGTACTGGCAATGCTGTAGCCATTGTGATTGGTGGTGCGGCCGAGTCACTGTCCTGCCAGCCGGGAATCACCACATTAATCCTTAAGAACCGCAAGGGCTTTGTCCGGATGGCATTGCAGCATGGGTGAGTGTCACTTCATGTATTGTCCTTACAGGTGCCCCACTCTTCTGGTAGCTGGACTAAGGCAATCCATCCCAGGGGCCAACAAGCCAGCCTACTGTATGAGGACTGGGTCTGGGACCTCTCCTTTGCTTAGGATGTCCACAAGCAGCCTACCCACTGGACCAGCTTTCAGCAGAACTTAGGAGCTGTGACAGCAAGGGTTTCCTAGCTGCTGCTTCCTGGGGCAAACCAGACCCAGTTCAAAGGGTCATAGCAGGCTCCTGTAGTGCTGAGGCTGGCAGGGGGCACTCATGCTGCAATGTTCTCCCACAGGGCACATCTGGTTCCCTCCTTCTCCTTTGGGGAGAACGAGCTCTTTCGACAGGTGGCGTTCAAAGATGGCAGCTGGATGAGGAACCTACAGGAGAGGTGCCGAAAGCTGCTGGGCTTTGCCCCTTGTCTCTTCTATGGACGGGGCTTAACCTCTGTCCATTCCCGAGGTTTCCTGCCCTTCCCCAGGCCCATCACCACTGTTGGTGAGTTTTTTTCTTGCTACTCTTCTCAGTGGCGTTGGCCATCTGTAATGCCTGAGCCCTTTGCTCTGGAAGGGCTGGCATGGGCAGGCAGTGGGGGCACAGCCCTGCTTGCACATGCTGACTATGAGGAGTCCACATGCTGCTGAACTTGGAAGATATGGAAGCCAGAAAACCCACCCTGATGGTGTGGGGTGAACTACTTCAATGGGCAGAGGGATCCCAGGCAAGCTAAAAACCTTCAATAGGTGGACACAGGTAGTGGTGTGTGCTTTTCCTTGTCCCCTATGACTGTTGCTGTTGTGTCACTGGGGTGTGGCATAGCATGTGTGTACACTGTTGCTCCCTGCTGGTGGCTCACAGCCCTGCCTGTATGTAGCAGATCACTAATCTCTCACTGGGTGTTTGGGTTCCAAGGCCCAGCTCATTACAGGGAGGCTGGGTTGTCCCTAGCTGTAGCAATTGGTCTATTCTGAACTCCTGGGTTTCACACTTCCGCCCTTTTTTGGCTCTGGCAGTAGGAGAACCCATGACAGTGCCCAAGATTGAGGACCCAAGCCACGAAACGGTGGATCTGTACCATGGAATGTACATCCGCTCCCTGCTTAAACTCTTCAACGAGCACAAAGCCAGATATGGCCTCTTGGAGACAGACAAGCTGAGGATCTTGTGAATGAGACCAGAAAGAAGCTGGGGACTGGGAAGAGACAGGGCAGCAAAGCCCTAATCCTGGATAACTGCCTGTTCTTGGGGGTTGGCTACCAGCCTCCCTGGCAGGGCAGGGACTCTCAGGGATGTATAAAGGATTCTGGGTGATGTGGTGCCTGCAGCAGCAGAGGATTTAACTTGATGACCCAGCAGGTCCCTTCCAGTCCCGCATCCTAGATTCTGACATACAATTCAGCCATGCCCCAGCTGCTCTGCCTCCTACTCTAACCCTGACCCTTACTCACCCTCTCAGTGCAGCTCCAATGGCTGTCTCTCTGTTCCTCCTGTGCCTCCAGGATGAATGAGGAAAGGAGGAGCATTGTACATTCTGCTGCACATCCTGCATGCTTTATACTCCCTTCTGTGGGCAATGCAGTGGGCCAGTGCACCAGCTATATCAGATCCTGAGGCCCCTTCAGGAAAGAAGAAAAAAAGGACAGGAAGGAGCACAGGGAGGGACTGGCGCTGAGCTTGAAAGGGGAAGTGTGACATAAGCAGAGAGGACTGGGATAGGTGTGGGAGGGACACTTCTTTGGCCAAGCCCTGCTATCCTTGGGAAGATGAATAGTAGCTTTGTGCTACTGCTGATGGAGCCCAAGGGTGGGATTATGCAGGCTACATCCTGCCTGAGACAGGAGGAGGGTGAGGTAGATGGAAAGGAGAAGGAGGGGAGAGGGTGGGAAGAATGGAGGCAATGCCCCTGACACGTAACTGAAGTAGTGGTTGTGAGAGGAGGCTGCAGGCCCCTGTGGGAGAATGGTACTGTGATGGGCAGAGGCTTGAGACACTTCAGCTCTTTGTCTGGGAAGGCTGACAACTCTGTAGTCTTGTGCCCGTGTTGAGTGCAGAATGGAGCCTCTTTGAAGGTTTCTCCATTCACCTGCATGCTCTGTACATCTGATTATGGGCATACTCCTGGCACTGGGTTGTCAGGCTGTTCACGTGAATGTGTCATCTCTCTACTGCAGGGAGAGTTTTCCCTCTGCTGGTCAGAGTTACCACCTAAGCCTGGGCCTCAGAAACAGGAAAGGATATGGCCAGGGCTTCCCTATATGGTGAGAGTTGCCATGAGGAATGGCATTCAGGGTAAAGCTCTTGAGAGTCTGTCCACAGTAGGGTGGGAGGCCTAAGTCCCTTTCATTTCCCTTTCTCTGTCCCACATGTCCTGTGTTCCCTGCATACCCTGCCAAACCTGTGTCCATCACTGCAGTTTCCCTATGGCCCTCTGCCATTCTGCCCAGACCCTAGGTGCCTCAGCTTCCAGCCTTCTCCATCTCTGTATTTCCTGTTGGGTCCAGGGCAGGTGGCAGCTGAAAAGGCCAGTGCACATTGAGGCTTCATCTGGAGATATATCAGGTCCTAGAGAAGCAACAGGTGTTTCCCTAGGGCCTGGCAGATTGCAGTGATTTCTGGGCAGTTTGTGACCAGAAAGAGATTGACCTATTGGAGGGAGATGGGAGGAATGTCCAGGGGCCAGAGGGAAATCTATCAAGTTTGGTTAAGCAATGACAATGTGGTGGGAAGTACACAGAGGGTAAGGTGTTATTTAGCTGCAAAGGGGTGTGTGTCTATCAGTGAGAGAATGCAGACCCGTAACTTCCAGTCAGGGAGAGGCACGGGCTGGAGAATCCTCTCCCAAGGGGTAGGGGTGGACTGCCAGAACTTGAGACATTTCACATAAACCTCATCAAAGCACTGTGGTGTAGGGGCCCATCCTGTTCTGGCCCCAGGGCTGGGTGAGAAGCTCTGCTGAGGTGTTTCCATCTTTGTGTTGCTTATCCTGTGTCTAATACAGTGTTACAGCTCTCAGATGGATGTGGACTGTGCTGTATGAAGTGGGGGGCAGGGGGGAGGGATCATTCCTGCACATCCATGCACACCACATAGAGCTAGGCCCAGCCACACCTGTTTCCATACACGCCTATGCACACACAGCTTAGGCACGCATGGTTCCATGTCTGTACACAGACACATGCCACATTCCTTTCACCTGAACAGCACACACACACACACCCCATACTGTTCTTTGGAGAAGGAAATCTTTATAGGTTGTTCCCCAAGGTGGGCGTGACAGGATGTACTGCCCCTTTAAGGGTCAATCTGGAGTTTATGGCTCACCAATGTGGACACAATGAGGGAGCACTATGGCTCACCAATGTGGACACAATGAGGGAGCACTCTGTTCCTCCCTGGGGTGGGGCTATAAATTAACAGAAGGAAGCTGTGGTGACGAAGGGTCAGAAGGTGAGTGGCAGGTTTTTTAATCAGTTTGGCTGCTTAGCTCAAGGTTTTGACCTCATGACCTGGGTTAGGAGCTGTATTTCTATCTCATGCCTGCCTCCTAAGACAGGGTTGGGGACTCGGTCAGCAGAGGGTTGTGTGGAGGCCTTTGTAAATGGAACAGGTTATTTTTGTTGTTTTGGTTTTGGCCTACTGCTACGTGCAGGAGCTGTTTGCTGTGGGAGCCCAGCTCCCCTGCAGGGCGAGAGGGAAGCCTGCTATTCCCACTGTGCAAGTTACAGTTGGGTGTTTTAGCTGAGGGCTGCCTCTGCCTGTGAGCAAGCTCAGTGGGGAGAGGGGAGAAATTGTCTGACTGGGGTTGAAACCATGGTGGGCAAGGGAGCCTTAGAAGCCACTGCTTCTGTTGTGACTTTTGGCAGGAACTCTGAAGTGCTTCTCTAAGGCTAAGCTACCTCCAAGGTCTTCAGCTTGCCGTCTGCCTTGGCCTTGCAGGGAGCTCTGCAAAGGAAGCTCAGGGTAGAGGAGAAGGGTTTGACCCCCTGGAGCTGGGTGTGGAGAGTGCTAGCAAAGATCTAGGCTCTGGGGGGAGGAGGTTTTAAAGGAGCTGAAGGAGCACAAGGACATAACAAACACTCCATGCAGTTCTGAGAAACCTGGTTAGGGGAAAAAGTAAATTGACTAAAGCGACTGGCATGAGGAAGCTGGTACCAACACGGGACAAGCCCTGCATTAGCCCTAGGATTAACATTCCTTTTCAGCTGGATTTCACAGAACAAAGGCTGTCCTGCTGCTGCCACTGTCACCAGGGAGTGCAACTGCAGCCTGCTCCTGATGGAGCTTCCTGAGGGCAGCAGGGTGGGCAACGTTTGCATCTCGGAGGGGAACTGTGAACCAGCCCTGCAGTGGGACTGTGCTGGTGCTAAGTGAGTGTGGGACAGAGTGTATAGGTGGCTGCTGAGGTTTGTCTGTTCTCCATGGGATCTCTCTGGCACAGGCTTCAGGGAGCAGGGTTGAAAAAACCTTCCTCACGTCCTTCCACAGCACTTCTCATACACGTGACTCCACTGAAATGCAGGCACCTGAGGGAGGCAGGGCACATGTGCAGTGCTCTGCACACACGTTCTACCACTGGGCCAGGAACAAAAGAGCTGAAGAGCCCGTTGCTGGTTTTAGAGAGAGCTAGAGATAAAAAGCACTTTCTGCTTGGTGCCCGCAATGGAAAAGGTTCAGCTGTCAGCCTCAAGCTTTTGCTTCTAGCAGGGCAGTTGTGCTTGGATAGAGCCCAGTGCAGTGAGGTGGGGCAGGGCTGGGCCTATCTCATTGGGAGTTCTTTTTGTGGGGGTGGATGATGCTGAAGTTGGAAACAGAGTTCAGCCGAGGGGCCAGGTTGAGTCATGTGAACTCAGTCCTGCAAGGGAGGGGCAAACTGATAAATTACTCAGCTTCTTTCTCAGGCTTTCTTTGGAAGTAACAGCCCCTCTGTAGCTTTTGCTCTTCCCAGCAACCAGGCTGGGTTTGTGAATGCTAGGGTGTGCATCCCTGGCAATTAGTCTGTTACACTGTCACTAAAGAGCCAGCCAACATTTTTTTTCAGAGTGCTTTTCCTATTAACGCACATGCCGCCTCACACCCAGGCACATGCCACATGTGGGCACCCACACTGTCAAACAAAAGAGCTGGGCAAACAGTTCAAAAGCAAACATCATAAAGGGTAGATTCCAAAGGACTCATTAACCTCCCATCATTAGCAGCCCTCTAAATGTTTTACGGTTCTAATTACCTGTCTCTAAAAATCTGTGAAAGTGCTAATGTTAAAAACACACACTGCGGTAAGCATTGGTGCCAAGCTAGGTCATACTATGAACTTACTGTGGGCTGGGGGAGACTTTCCTCTGCTTTTAGAAATGCTTACAACTCAGCCAGTCTCTAGCAGACAATGCTGGAATACTAAAGGGGGAGCTTTCTCCACTCCTGCTCAAGGTACAGACCAGGGGAGAAATGTGAACCAAAGGGGCACATTTCAATGGTGGAACCAACTTCCAAGAGAAGTGCTGCTGGCTCCTACCCTGGGGGGTCTTTAAGAGGAGGCTAGATGTACACCTTGCTGGGGTTGTTTGACCCCAGTGCTCTTTCCTGCCAGGGCGGACTAGATGATCTACTCAGGTCCCTTCCGACCCTAAAAACTATGAAAACTGTGAAATGCCAGCACTTCCAGAAGCAAGCCCATCCATGGTTGGGTGGGGTGCATTGAGAGGTGGAGTGGCGAGGCCGGCATGTAAGTGTAAACCATGCAGAGCTAAAGTTAGCAGGAAGGATAAGTGCAATATGGGAATGGCTGTTTGAGGATCAAGCATTCCAGTTGAAGTCCTTGAATGCCTGCAGAAAGG